CTCCTTTCCACAGCAGATCCGTCAGTGGGGCTGTTAAGCACGCCACATTGGGACGAACCGATGGACGTAATTCACGAACCCTAACAAACTCTGCAGCTCCGTGATGCTGGTCGGGGGACGCCACGCTTTTACCGTGTCTAACTTTGTTGGGTCAATTTTGACTCCAGCATCCGAAATAACGTGCCCCAGAAATTCTAGCCGGTCCTAAAAAAACTTGCACTTCGAACCCTTTGTCGGTAGGCGATTCTGGTCTAAGATTTTAAGCACTGCTTCCAAATCCGCCAAGTGCTGCTGCTTGTCGCGACTGTAGACCAGGATGTCGTCGAGGTAGACCATCACGTATCTATCTAAAAGTGGCCTAAACGTTTCGTTCATGGTCATCTGAAAAGTCGCCGGTGCGTTGGTCAGCCCGAATGGCATTACTTTGTACTCGAATGACCCGTACCTAATTCTGAATGCCGTTTCGGCGCAGTCCGATGGTTCGACCCTAATCTGAAGGTAACCTCCCCGTAAGTCAATTTTCAAAAAGACCCATGCTGTTCGCAGTTGATCTATCAGTTCGTCGGCGTGGGGGCTGGTGTGGGCTGCTAGAGGCTGGTGTGGGCAAGCATGGGTAGGCAAGATGGGTAGGCGGCCACCTGTGATCACCACCGAACGCCCCCTCGCTCGCCACCTGTCAGGTTTCCATGCGGTACAGCCAGGACAGAAGAGGCCGCCTGGTCATGCGTGTTCTTTTGAGACGTCGTTTTGAGATGTCTCAAAAGGTTTCCATGCGGTACAGTCACGAAAGAAGAGGCCACCTGGTCATGTGTGTTCTTTTGAGGCGTCTTGAGACATCTCATAAGGTTTCCATGCGGTACAGCCAGGACAGAAAAGGCCACCTGGTCATGTGTGTTCTTGCTTCGCTTGCTAACACCATTCCCCAGAAGCAACTTAACATTTGCATCGTCGCTCGCCCCTGGGGTGTCATCTCCTCGACCTTCTCATCCCATTTAGTCCACCCGTCTGCCTGTCTTTGACACGCTCATGCAACTGGATGGGCACACAAACCAAGTGCTCTCTGACTGCTGCTTTTGTCCTTCTCTTTGTCCCTGCTGCTGCCTCTCGCTCTCCCACTTGCTCTGCTCCTGTCTCATTCTCTCCACTTCCCCTCTCTTTCCACCTTTCCTTCCACAGAGGGAGTTGGACAGGCACACACACGACAGCTGCTGCCGTGCACCTCCTTTCTCTCTTCCCGTTGTGCTCCCCCGCTCACTAGCTTGGCAACTGCCTCTCCCTTTCCATCCTTTCTATCCTTCCTTTACACCATGCTCTCGCACAGAGGGAGCTGGACGGGCGCACGTACTATGACTTTGAGTTTGTGGCGCAGGCATCCAGCTACACTCGCCACGCTCTCGGCACAATCACCATTGCCAGCAGTACGTGCTGCGGCAAGCTTGCTGCATGTACAGTAGCAGCAGACTTCAGGGGCAGAGAAGATGGTAGAATTAGGGGCCGAGTGGAATCTCTGTTGGTTTTACACCTGTGGGATGATAGCCACTCGGTAGCATTGTCCTGCACTTTTCTTGTGTGTGGTACTGTATCCTTTCTCTGGCTGAATCTGTGTGTGTGTGTGTGTGTGTGTATGTGTGTGTGTGTGTGTGTGTGTGTGCTTGTGTGTTTGTGGTCGTGGTGCAGGCAAGTTCTACACGCTGACAACTGGGGAAAATGAGCGTCGCTGGAGCAAGGTGAATGAGAAGCTTCGCACAGTGGTGGCTTCATTTGTCACTCTATAGACTTAAGCAGGATCGCTTGTCTTGTGGTGTCTGTGTGTGTGTGTGTGTGGTGGGGGGGACACATAAGAATAAGACAACAAAGCATGTGTCTGGTGGTTGATGTGTATGGTAGATAATATATTTTGGTTTCAGAGAATTGAGGTGGCTTGATCACCTGCTTAACGAATCGGATGTTTTCAGTGTATCAATTGCACACTACACTTGCAGCGAAGATTCCAGTCGGTGCTGTATTCATGGAGGTGGTCTTCGTGACAGGTCAAACAGGCCCTGAGTCTTTGCTAAAACCTGCACCAGCACCAAAACCTTATGACTCTTGAGTCATGCCTGAACTGATAAGCTATTTACTGCCCTGATAATTAGAGAGATTGGTGATGAAAAATAGAGATCAGTGATGAGACGTACGTTACTTCATTTGGGCTTCTGTACACAATATGGTACATGGAATCAAAGCGAGCAAAGTGCTATTGGGAAAGGTAACACTCCACATTTGCGCTATTATACTGCACAACCATTTGTGTACATGTTTCATGACCTTATGCAAGATTGTCCAGCATAATGGCTCCTGGCACAGCTATGAAGGCACCTCAAAGAAGCCCCTAGGGCCTGATATGTGGTAGCATAATTTAGTCAAAGGTCAACTCAGAATGTTGATGGTACACAAATAGACCTTGCTCCTACAGTACCAGAGCAAGACCTACCATTGTAGTTGCAAAACTGTGCAATTGCGGTTGAGGTAGTTCCACTATAAAAGCGGTAAGCACCTGAGCATGGCATTGATGGCTGCACAGGCTTGATCCTACCCTTCTTGCATATCCCCATCGTGAACGACCAGTACTCTGCTGTGAGGCAAATCTGGGATCATAGAAGCATGGGACGGAGCCTCAGGAATAACTAAGGTTGGCGGAGAAACCGAAGCAGACCAACAAGGGATGCATCATAGTCGCACGAGGTCTTTCGGAAACAGTGCAAAGCTCTCTTACCTTTGCCCACCATTCCGTGCTCCCCCATCCCAGAGAGTTTCCTCCCAGCCCTCACAGTCCTCACCTGTACACCAATGTTGCTGCCGACAGCGGAGGCAGAGGAAGGGATAGTGGCGGAGCAAATGAGGCCGGGATTGTTGCGGTACAGCGCAGCCCATGAATTGTCACTGGCACTGGCTCCTCCTGGTGAAGTGCCAGTCCTCTGAAGCAGCTGCTCGCACGTGTCTTGGGGTGTGAGCGTGCCGTATCTCACACACTCGGGAATGGTGAAAGCGAAGGCAGCACTGCGCTCGAGGCACACAGAGCGGCCTGCCTTAATGGGCTTGGAGCAGTCAAGGCCGGGGTTGAGAGCGGTGAGATCAGGTTCTGTGAAGCTGAGCTGTCTGCTGATGTACGCACATGTGTCCCCCTGGAGAGTAGGGCAGAGACAGGGATAGGCTTGGTTCTTGCCCACTGGTTTCGACAAGGACGGGATATATTGGATTGAGAAGCTTTTTGAGGCGCCTCAAAAGTCATATATTGGATTGAGAAGGATTTGAGGCGCCTCAAAAGTCATACATTGGATTGAGAAGGATTTTGAGGCGCTTCAAAAGTCATAAATTTGATTGATAAGTATTTTGAGGCGCCTCAAAAGTCATATATTGGTTCGAGAAGGATTTTGAGACGCCTCAAAAGTCATATATTGGATTGAGAAGGATTTTGAGGCTCCTCAAAAGTCATATATTAGATTGATAAGGATTTTGAGGTGCCTCAAAAGTCATATATTGGATTGAGAAGGACTTTGAGGCGCCTCAAAAGTCATATATTGGATTGAGAAGGAAATTGAGGCGCCTCAAAAGTCATATATTGGATTGAGAGAAGGATTTTGAGGCGCTTCAAAAGTCATATATTGGATTGAGAAGGTGAGCTGGTAGAGCGTAAAATATGGTCTGGGCAAGAAAGCAGCAGGTCTCACGTTGAGGGAGTAGAAGAAGGCAGTGCAGGGTGTGGCGGGAGTACCATCAAGCTGAAGAACACTGCCCTTGGGCAATGGCTGGCTGCAATCAATGCCCTGCATTGGGAAACACGTGCATGGGAGAGAGGGTCGTATGGGCAAGACCACATGGGCAAGACCACATGGGCAAGACCACATGGGCAAGGCCCCCACTCCTCTCTGGATCCTGATGAGAATAACGTCGTCAGACCTTAGTACCCAAGAGAGCATTCTAGGAGTCGGTCAATGGAAAGGGTTCTAGGAGATACGATACGCTAGGAGTATCTCTACCATGTTGGGAGGGGTGTAACTGATGTGAGCGTGAAAGGAGGATGTCAATTAGTAGCTATACGATCGGGAACCAGGCTGCATTGAAGTGAGGACTCACGGGAGCCATGGAGAGAAGTGATATGGAAAGTGCAAGGGATACATGGAAACATGCAATCCAAATGACAGATGATGGCCCGAAACTCCCACCCACCCCATCTTCACCCACAATGTTTTGGTCTGTGAAGTCAGTCAGTGAGAGGCCGACGAGGGGATGAACATCGGAGCACCACCAGTTGTCTCCACTGACTGTCATTGTGGTGGCCGTGGTGTTGGCTGCAGACAAGAAATGGGAGTGAGAGAGACACAGGCAATGAAAAAGAGACAGAGAGCCTCTAAAGATCTGCAGAAATAGAGAGGAAATTAGAGAAAGGGAAGTTGCCGCCCTCCTCAACCAAACGGAGGTTACCAGGCATATTCACAAGCAAAGGAGAACTACAGACATATTAATGCCACCTACTTGGATCGCAGGTTGGAAACCCGTCAACGGTTGTGCTGGTAACGTGGTTGGGAGGGCAGATGCAGGAGTAGGCGCCCTTGCTATCGTTGATGCATGCTCCCACGTAGCAGGGGTTCTTGAAGTATGACCCACACACGTCCACTGCCACTCGTGTTCCGGGGTGGGAGATACAGAGAATTGAGACAGATATATAATTCAAGATGAAAAGGAGGGGAAAAATGGGAATAGAAGAAGGGGTATACGGAATTGCGCTCCAATCCGGACAAATGGCAACCAAACCTTTGACCGCTGCAGCTAGGGCACCTCTAGCACATGTGAGACACGAGCAGGAGTACTATTTAGAACACCTTTGTAAGGATTTCAAGAGGAGTCTTGTTTCTCACCTCGCTGGCCCCACTCTCTATGCAAGCACTGCATATATTTGGGAACTTTGCGTGCCAAAACAGCCAGACAAACTTTGTTGCGGGACAAATCTACGTGCCCTTCTACTCACCTGTTAAATTGCCACAGAACTCACCATAAGCACATGTGTTGGAACCGTATCCCTTCTCAGCCTCCACAAAGGGCTGCACAGGAGCGGTCGGAATATTGCAGGAGCAGTTGTTGGTGGTGTCTGTCGTCCCCTGGCACTGGAAGCGACCACACGGGTTCATGCTCGGCTGCGAATCCCCATCGCCCTTGTAGCTGCTCTGGCCGCAGGGGTCGCCTGGAACTGGGAGGTGGCAAAGAGGACACACTTGAGGAACATGAGAATGGAGGTTGGCGGTCGACAGCTAACGAACAGCTAACAAACAGATAGCAAGTATCCACAGTGGCGAAGCACCATTCAGTGCACATGTGACATGTATGATGCCATGACCGACCACTAGTGGAAGAGAAGTCAGCATTTCGGCTTGCTTGCAGAGTGAAACAGGGCCACTTAAGAACCCCTTGCGTGCTTTGTAATATGCCACCCTTGCTTGGTAATGAGGTGGATATGACCAAGTAGATATGACTTACTCTTGACGATGGGGTAGATGCCAGGCAGCACGTTAATGCCACACACGCCATCCCCTCCCTGAATGTCCATGCGCATGTGGCCTCTCTTGCCCCACTCCTCTCCCCACGAGTTGCGGATGATCCAAAACGGAGGAGCAATGCGGTTCTGGCTGCCATCGTTTCTTGTGATGAAGTAGCCAATAACGAGTACAACGTGGTTGAGATTGCCCGTGTAGCAACCAGGATCCTGGTACTTGAATGTCTGAAACAAAATGGGGCCACAACAAACATAGATGGGGAGTTCAAGAAGCAGAGTCATATGGGTATGAAGAAGCGGTGGAAGGGGTTAAAGGACGAAGCACTGCAAAGTAATGGTAATTGGTCTATACGATCCAAATTCATAGCAGAATAGCACCAGGAGTATCTGCCATAACTCAGCCATAACCTGAGTTATTTGACAAGATTTGACAATTTGAATGGAATCTGAGAGAGAGTTGCAGCGACTCACCCCATCATACAGCATGAAGGTTGGAGATGCCTCAATGTGAACCACCACTGGCTGCTGCTGCACGGCCAGCATGAGCCCCACATACCCCTTAAACCGCGCTCGTTCAAACGCCTGCACCGGATATGTTGTTGCCTAGGGCCACGAGGGGGAAGCATTGTTGGATGGGGAAAGATGGGAAGTGGTTTAGTTTGGGGGAGCTTGACAAAGTTGTGAAACTAGAGAGTGGTGCAACCGTTGCTCCTCCTGATGCAGGGCACACGGAATAATTTCCACCATGGCAGATGGTGGTTTTACGAATCAGCAACCAATCTCTCGGCCAAGTTGATATACTCTCCTGACTGATTGGATGAGGTGATCTGGCTTCTAGTTTCAAGCCCAAGAGCAGCCAAGCTGGCAAAGTGACCCTCCATAAATCTCACACCCATAAACCTTTGATGTCTTTATCCCACCTCACAAGATACATACATACATACATACATACATACATACATACATACATACATACATACATACATACATACATACATACATACATACATACATACATACATACATACATACATACATACATACATACATACATACATACATACATACCACGTCCTCATTCTGTTTACCCTACCAGGTCACTGTCCCCTGTGAGACCACTGGCGGCATCGAGAGCTGTGAGCGTCTCAAAAGCCTGGGTGGGGGAGCCGCCAGCAGAGCACTTGTCTGAATCAGTGAGACCCATGAGCGCAAAGAGACCCTCCACTGACAGCCAAGGAGCGCTCTGCTGCTTTGCAATGCCGTATGCCGCCTCCACACTCGCCACCACCGCATACGCCCAGCACGCATCTGAGCAGGAAAGGTAGATCATTCAGTCAGGTTGAGTTACAGTATATAAGGTTCCTTGTCTTGATTAGGTGTAGACTTCTCATCCCAAACCTCTCTAACCTGATCAATCCAAAATTTGACAATTTGAATGGAATCTCCAGCTTTTGTTTTGTTGAATTCTATTAATGTACTGTACTTACTGCAGTGAACACACGGAAGTGAAAATATTGCGATCATCTTTCCACTCACTGCAGTCGTTTTGGTTCTTGACAGGCCAGTTGAGGAAGGGCACATTGTCCCACGTGTGGAAGTCACGAATGCTCCACGAGTCCGCTCTGGTGGCCGACAGCTTGAAGTCAGCACTCACATAGCGCGAAAAGGGACTGGCTCGAGATGGTGCAAATGTGGCCTCTGACAATGAGAAGCCGAGGGCTGTGAGGGGTGGGAAGGGGTGGAGATGAAGGGAGATGTGGATGGGTAGTGGTTGAAAGGCATGGCACGGTCTGAACCCAATTCCTTGCAAGCTCCAATTGATTGCAAAGAAGTTAGACATGTGAGAAATTGACTGTTTTTTGTGTGTGTGTGTGTGTGTGTGTGTGTGTGTGTGTGTGTGTGTGTGTGTTTTTACAGAGCAGAAGGCTCCTCCTCAAGCATATCAGAAATGATTTGAAAAGGATAAGAAGGGAGTTAGAAGCAATCCCCAATGACCTCAGCTGAAACCGCCAAGTTAGCTGGTGTTGAGAGTGAAGCGAGCAAGACGCTTGTTGGTGACCCACTTAGCGGAGTGAAGGCACACACATTCCAGACACAATCTCAGATGGGAAGGCAGGACTTGAAACTATGGAGGAGCCTTTAGGATGGGTGGTGAAGTCGGTTCTTGGAAGAGGTATGTGTTGACAGGAGTTGGCCCCGCCATCGCTTGGGCGAAGCCGACTTCACGGTCGGGTGCGCAGGAGGTGCAGCCGACCGCCTGCAGTGGTCGACGCCGACCTGAGCGAGCAGGTCGACAAAGTTGGTCGACCTGCGCGAGACCACTGTGACGCCGCCGACGACGGGAAGCCGGCGGCCGACTTCAACTGGGTGGTCGACGAAGGAGGCCGTCGACCGGAGGGCGCCGACTTGTGGGCGCCGACCGACGGGGCCGGAGACGTTGCCCGGCCTGTTGTGTAACAAGGGCGACGAAGTCCTGCGGAGGTGCGCGAACGTTGCCAGCTGTTTGGTGAAGTCGACCTGCGAGGTGGTATCCCGAGGTTGATGTGGCCCATTAGGCGCAACCATCGGCACGTGGTCGACTTGGCACCCGCGCAACGTTCGTGGCAATGCACGACGTGCACAACGTCTACAAGCACCTGCGACACACATGCACTTACAGTCACATGCGGTTGCAGCGTTGGCGGGCCGCTCTACTGCAGTGTTCGCAAGCCGCCTTGGTGTAGTGTTAACAAGCCGCCGACTTGCTCTGTTGGCAGGCCGCCTTTCTGCAATGCTGGCGCGGTGCCAACCTGCAGTTCTGCCAGGTCACCGACTTTGCTGCGGCGGCGGTCGACCTGCCTGTGTGCTATTGCATCTGATGTAGTCATTGTTGAGTATCATTCTTGCATAAATGTATCCAACTTTTGCTAGTGAAATTCTTGCCAAATTTCCCCGTGAATGCGGATGTAGATAGAACACAAGCAACACTACGACCATTCGTACCACCTGTGCTTCCTTCCGTAGTTCAGCTCCTGGTGTAGAGTGACTCTCCACAGTCTTGCCTTGCTTGGGGAAGACAGTTTCCAACTGCTCGAGCTCCCTATGGGTTGTTTGCACCTTGGTGACGTAATCAACCATCCCCCTTCGGATCGCACAATCAAAGCTAGCTAAACTTTTCTCGTGGTGGTTTTGCACGTAGCTTACTAACAGTGACCGATGGCGACGTGGTGGGGAAATTATGGACGATATGTGAGCACAATAAATGTCTGAACATACAGAAGGTTCTGTGTTGCCACATGACATGTAGCTCACCTTGCTCCTTGGTCTGAACGACCTTGGATGAAGGGGCGCCTGTTGAGAAAAACACAAGACGAAAGATAAGCACAGAAGCCAGAGAGTGGGGGTTGGGTCTTGGATAGGGAGAGAGCACCACAACAGTGGGTAGCAAAGGCAAGTTCGTGCAAAATAGCTACCACTAACCACCATCTCGATAAATGCCTAGCCATGGCAGGAGACACAATCATCAGTGCCCAGCAAAGACTCAATTGAAAACCCATTACATAGTGTATTTTTCATCAGAAATGAGCCAAGGCTTGAACCCAAATCGGCTCGAAAGGAACCGAGTTGGGCCAGAGGGATGGTCGAACCGAACCCGAACGGGTTCAAGTCAAACATGTTGATTTGGCCGAACCGTTCAAGTTCGGTTCGACCCAGCGTTCATGCAAGATTTTGGAAATTAAAAGAAAGGGTACGAGAGGAAATTGGAGTTTGAACTTCTTTCTTGGACCGTAGAAGTAGATCCCGCACAATCCAAACCTCACGAGTTGACTCGTCGTTCTTCGAATGGTCCATATGAACGAGGAATGAAAATGAAAATACCCTAGATCGGATTCTTATTCCTGCCTATTTCTCATCATAAACCATTGCCATCACTACCAGCAACCATCCACCACCACCACCCCGAATTTTATCATCAAGGCAGTCAGCGTCATCCCACCTGCCCAGAATAGCCTTGCCTGTTTGCACAGCGGAGAAGAGAATGCCATGCAGCTGGAAAGCAGTAGACGCCGTAAACCCAAACGAGAACGCGGCACGCTGCTGCTTCACCCGCGGCTGCAGCACAGCACACAGCGACACACCCTTCTGCAGCAGCAGCGGCTCCTCTGGCTTTTCGTTCGAGCTCGCCAAGAAGACTCGAAAGGTGCCCGGATCCCCAGGCTCATAATCCACCCACGCTGTGTATGCATCGCCATCCGTGAACATGAATGGTGAAACCTTCGACACCACAGGTTCCCCTTTACCATTCATGTTCAGCCCCACGCGCTGGTGACTCTCTTTGATGTCAAATGTAACGGCTATGCTCCGAGCTCCCATCCCGCTGTACCCCACACCTCCTGGTTTCCCTGCCTTGGCCGTTGCGGCAATCACAAACGCAAAGCCGCTGGGCCCCGCGCGACCAGAGTGGCGCTTGAGAGCAAAGGTGAAGTTGACAGTGAATGCCAACTCCAAGCCACATCTTGAGGTCACACCAGGCGGGTAGATGAATAGGGTCACAGGCTTTCCTGCAAACTTCCCCACTGTTTCCTGCTGTGTTCCCTTGGTGAGAACCGTGAATGGTGGGAGAATTCCCCTTGAGGTGGCTGGAGAGTTGCGAGGGAAGGGCAGCGGTGCATGGGGCAGAGGAAGGATGGGAGTGAGTGGGAGGAGAGCATCGGAATGTGTATGTGTTAAGTTGTGCAAACCGGATCATATGGTCAAACCCTATGGGAGTGACGTCCGTAGATATGGGGTCTGTGCCTTGTCTATGGTGATGGCACCGTGATTCAGCATGAGGCACCGTGATTCAGCATGCTCAGCAAGTATGATTAGCCTGCGGTAATTGCAGCAGAGCATGGTTTAACTAAATGTGTGCGAGCTAGAAAGCGAGGAAATGAGTAGAAAGTGCATCACTAAGGAGCACCAAGACTACGACGTCCTTAGACCCTTCTCCGTAAAGCATGCTACAATCGCTGCTCACCTCCTGTGAATGGGACACAGCGAAGTAATCCAAACTGCTTGAACCGTGCACCACACAGGCACGTTGGAACCAAACTGGGCCCGTCTGGGTAGCACACGCCACGACCACCACAGGCAGCAGTGGTTGGAGAGACGCCACAGAAAGCCAGACACTGCGCTGGTGGCCGCTGTAGTTGACCACAGGCCTTTTCTTGTGTGAAGCAGTTGGCTACGATGCTGTGTATGCTGCAGTTGGCTTCAGACCCTCGCATCACACCCGACAGGTAGTTGCTGGAGAGGTCTGCTTTGGTGCCCGAAAGATTTACAAGGGGACCTGTGAGGTAGTTGCGAGAGAGATCGCTGGAGGAGGTAGGGGAGAGAGAAAGGGAGGTGTTATCTCAAAAGAGCTGGATGAAAAATAAAAATAGCAGGAGAGAATAAGGGAGAAGAGAGGTCAATGGAGAGTGAGCACGGGTTTGGACTGGCATCGAGAGGAGGAAAATGGCAGAGAGGGGAGGAGAAGAAGCTAGAATACAACATATAAAGGTGATTTCTCTATCGTAGTTAGTCTACTCATAGTTTTTGTGGGTTGGATGTTTCACCAGTATCCCAACCCTACCCAGATGTGATCAGGTGAAATCTCCAACCCACCAATTGAAACAATTTCAGCCGATCTGATCTGACCAAGCATTGCTCTTTGACTTGGCTCGATCGACACCATTTTGACGCGTATGATTTTTCAGAGATTCTCAAAAATCAGATATAATCTTGAGGACTAGAACATAGAACCATGAGCTTTTCAGGCTGGTAGGCCTGGACCAAGTGGATGGGGTCGACTACACCCGCCGGTTCAGCCAGGTTCCAACCGAACGGGACCACCTTCATCACCTAGTTATACAGGTTTTACAGGCTTGCGATGTGAGGATCTATATTGCAGGGAGGATTGAGGCGGTGAGGTGATTGGTCCATCCATGCACGACCTTAGCATATTAATAAGGAACGATCCGTACATAGCGAAACACAACGATCTGGGAAACGGGAAAATGTCGACCTTTGGTTGGGATCTTCAACATTATTGCCCCCCGCCAATAAGTTAAGGTTGATGGATTTGGGCAGGGTTCAGAGAATATCGACTAAAGGTGAGCAAAGAGTTTTCTTAAGTTCATTAATCCTCAAACCTAGCCTTGAGGGTCTGTCTGGGCCAAAGGTTAATTCCAACCACACGTAGGGTTGACTGACCCTAGATAGGCACCCAAACTAAGGTTGCGTGCATAATTACCCAAGCTATGTGCAGCAATATGCAAAATGTAAAGTGGGGTGTGAAATGGAGTGGAAAAGGTTGGAGGGAGGGGCAGAACGGGGAACACAGCCAAGCAAAGGGGCTTACAGGGAAATTAGGTTCCTAAGGTTGCTGATTGCGGTGGGAATTGTGCCAGTGAGCTGATTGCCAGAAAGGATTCTGCACGGATTAACATGAAAGCCATGCGGTAGGTAGACACAAGGATCTCAACTTTGCAGACAGAGGCATAAAAGGCAACGCAACGGACACTGTTCCCGAGGTGTGTGCAGAATGGCAGCAGATAGATGGGGTTAGGAGTGTGAAGGGAAATGTGTTGTTTTCTTGCACCAGTGCATGTATTCCGTGTACAGAATGGGCATGGAAGAGAGCATGAGAGAGGGGGGGGAGAGTGAGAGAGAGGGGGAAACAAGACAGCAGTAGCAATAGGAAAAGCAAGGAATGGAGGGGACGGGACAGATCATGTGAGGTGTGATATGACGATGGGAAAAGAGGGAAACGAGAGGTGTGCAAAAGTTCTGAGGTTAAAGGACTAGAAAGGACGACATATTAGAGTGCGAATGGGGAAGCAACAAGAAAGGATGTATGAAAAAAACACAGAGGGAGAAGGGTAAAAGCGTTAGGCCTACGTATCTTGAATACATTGCTGCTTACATACTTCAGAGAAAACCTTGCTTTGACCCAAACTGCGGCAGGTCGAACCAAGCCCCTTCATGTTTCGATCTGACGGCTTGAGTGTTGAGTCATGAGCTGTTCAGGCTGGTTCAACCCAAACCAAGGTGGTTGTTGATTTGCACCAGCAAGTTTGACCAGGTTCGGCTCAAACAATTCATGTTTGGTACTTGTTCGTGTCTACTCACAAGGCTTGAATGTCTGTCAGGTTGCCAATTGCAGCAGGGATTGAGCCAGTGAGCTGGTTGGCATAAAGGTAGCTGCAAACACGAACATAAGTGGGCATGTGGTAAATAGATACAGGGAGGTTACGTTTGCATGATAACGAGAAGCAGATAGGAGCAACCCCATCAGCAGCGGAAATCTGAAAAACAGCAACAGAGGCATAAAGGCAACGCAACGGACATTGTTCCGAGATGTGTGTTGAATGGGAGGAGATAAATGGGTTAGGAGAGTGAAGGGAAATGTGTTGTTTTCTTGCACCAGGGCATGTATTCCGTGTACTGGGCATGGGAGAGAGCATGAGAGAGGGAGAGAGTAGGTAGGACCAATAGGAAAAGCAAGGAATGAGGAGGACGGGACAAATCATGTGAGGTGTGATATGAAAAAGAGGGGCACAAGGAGTGTGCAAAGCTTTTGATGTTGAAGGACTGGAAAGGATGACATATTAGAGTGCGAATTGGGAAGCAACAAGAAGGGATGTACGAATAAAAGACAGGGGGAGAAATGTAAAAGTGTTAGGTCTACGTTTCTTGAATACAGTGCTGTTTACATACTTCAAGCAACCCTTGCTTCAACTTGTTTGATCCAAACTGCAGAAAATCGAACCAAGCCCCTTCAGGTTTTAATCTGAGGACCTGAACGTTGAGTCATAATGTTGTTCTGGCTAGTTCAACCCAAACCAAGTGATGGAAAGCATGCGAATCTAGAGAGCGGAGTAGGAGATTTTGTCTGCCGACTTCGACAGAGCATTGCGTACAACTCACGTAACTTTACAATACGAGCATATACGTGTTAAAAGATCTTGATCTCTGCTCTCTGGAATGCTAAAGAACAATTTTAACTAAGGATTTTAGCCGGTCGCGATCGCGATTTGAGTGCGGCGGGATATCCTGGCAAAATTACTTGGCAGCCATAGATCAGATCTAAGAATGACATTGGCAAGACTTCAGTTTTGATAAGTGACGAGTTTGACAATGTTCACAAGCCCAACTATCGCCCTGCAACAATCCCCAACAACTCAAAGTGCTCACTGGCAATACTTAAGATGTTGTAGTGAAGAGTGGAGTGGGGGATTGTTGGTGCTTGTTATTGCGAGTTCAATTCCAGATCAAAACAAGGCATAGAATCTCATTCTGCTAGAACAAAAAACCACAACCACCAACAAAATCATCAACACGGTGGTTGGTTTGGTTGCACCCAGCTGGCTTGACCAAGTTCGGCTCGAACCCGTTCACATCTGGTACTTGCTCATATCTACTTACAGGAGTTGTACATTTGTGAGGTTGCCGATTGTAGCAGGGATTGAGCCAGTGAGCTGATTGGCAGCAAGGAATCTGCAAACACAAACATAAGTGAGCATGTGGAGGATAGATACAGGGAGGCTAAGGTTGCATGGAAACGAGAAGCAGATAGGAGCAACTCCATCAGCACGGATATCTGAAAACCTGCAACAGAGGCATTAAAAGGCAACGCAACGGACATTGTTCCGAGAAGATGTGTGCAGAGTGGGGGGAGATAGATGGAATCAGGAGAGTGAAGGGAGATGTGTTGTTTTGTTGCACCAGGGCATGTAATCACTGTACAAAATGGGCATGGAAGAGAGAATGAGAGAGGGGGGGGAGAGAGTGAGAGAGAGGCAGAAACAAGATAGTAGCAGTAGGAAAACCAAAGAATGAGGAAGATGGGACAGATCATGTGAGGTGTGATATGACGATAGGAAAAGAGGGACACAAGAAGTGTGCAAAGGTTTTGAGGTTAAAGGACTGAAAAGGACAACAGGTTAGAGTGCGAATGGAGAAGCAACAAGAAAGGATGTATGAAAAAAACAGAGGGAGAAGAGTATAAGTGTTAGGCCTACGTCTCTCAAATATATTGCTGATTACATACTTCAGGCAATCCTTGCTTCAACTGGTTTGACCCAAACTGTAAGAGATCGAACCAAGCCCCTTCATGTTTTGAACTTGAGGGCTTTAATGTTGAGTCATGACCTGATCAGGCTGGTTCAACCCGAACCAAGGTGGTTGATTTGGTTGCACCAGCCGGTTTGACCAGGTTCGGCTCAAACCCATTCATGTTTGGCATTTGCTTGTGTCTACTTACAGGCCACGTAGCTTTTGGAGGTTGCCAACTGTAGCAGGAATTGAGCCAGTCAGCTGATTGGAATGAAGGGCTCTGCAAGCACGAACATAAGTGGGCATGTGGTAGATAGATACAGGGAGGTCAAGGTTGCATGGAAACGAGAAGCGGATAGGAGCAACTCCATCAGCAGCGGAAATCTGAAAAACTGCAACAGAGGCATAAAGGCAACACAACGGACATTGTTCCCGAGATGTGTGTTGAATGGGAGGAGATGGATGTGTTAGGAGAGTGAAGTGAGATGTGTTATTTTCATGTATTCACTGAACAGAATGGGCATGGAAGAGAGCATGAGAGAGGGGGGGCGGACAAGGCCGATCGCGGTGGGCAAGTGTCCGCTCCGCATGATCGCCAAAGCCGCGCTCTTCCTGACGGCGCCGGCCGCCCAAACGCACTTCGCTCCCCTTCAGTTCTAAGTTACTATAGCAGGACAGGAGGGATCGAAGCAGCCATCCACACAGCTCGGACCTACCTTCAAGAGGACCCGGAAGCAGTGGCCCTACAGATCGACCTGGCAAACGCCTTTAATGCAGTTGAGAGAAGAGCGGTATTCGAAGGGCTGAGAAATGAAGCACTGGAGAGCCTCATCCCCCTGGCCTGCCTCTCCTATGGGGCCCCCTCTTCTCTCTTCCTGTACGACTTCGCGGCGGCGCCACTGCAAAGCGACAGAGGTGTTCACCAAGGGGATCCCCTCGGTCCCCTCCTGTTTGCCGCCAGCACCCACCCATGCCTCGTGGCAACAGCAGCGGCTCATCCTCAGGTGGTCCTGCTTGCATACGCCGACGACATCACCCTGCTTGGCGAAGAGTCGGCCTGCTCTGCAGCCTTCAACCACCTCACGTCTGGGCTCGCCTCCCTGGGCCTCCTCACAACCCGGCCAAGTGCGCGGCCTGGTCCGCCGCACCGTTTGACCTCACCTCCGTACCTCCTGGCAGCCCCATCTCAAGTGAAGTGCTGCAGATCCTTGGCAGCCCCATCGGCACGCCACAGGGCTGTGGGCCACCGCGGTTAGGGAAAGACTCACGGCAGCAGCCGAACCACTCCCGCTGCTGGTGCAAATGAATCCCCAGCTCTGTCTCCTCCTCCTCACACGCTGCGTCAGCCGCCGCGCCTCCTTCCTGGCCAGAACAATGCCGCTGGAGGTTTTGCCCGTGGCAGAGTGGTCGGCCTGGGGGGAGCGGCTGCTACATACCTTCTTAGATGCGGCACACATAGTAACACCAAGGAGGAACGCGGAAAGGAGGCGTATTTGGCGGCAGGCCGCGCTGCCCGAAACCTTGGGGGGCTTGGGCATCACAGACCCTGTCGTTGAAGGGAGCTACGCGTACCTTGCATCGGTGATCGGCGCTTCCCACCTTCTGCACTCGCTCATCGACACCCTGCACCCTGCCTTAGCTGCCCTCCTCCCCACTATGGACCCCTCACCCGACTCCGCAGCGGCCCTGCCTTCGCGCCTAGCAGCAGCCGAAGCGGCCCTCCCCCCAGATGCGTTGGAGGCCCTCCAGGCCGGGAAGAGTGACCCCAAGGGCCTTAAGCTTCAACAGTCCCTCGCCCTGGCAGTCCACACCCGCCGCCACATCGGGGTGCTCAACGAGGCAAGGCGGATGCGCCCCAACCCCCTCTCTGGACATGCACAACGGATGCAGTCGCTGCTGGGCCCAGGAGCAGGGGATCGGCTGCTGGCGATCCCCCTCACTTCAGCGCTCTGGATGGGCCCCTCTCAGCTCTCAACTTCAGCTGCCTTCCGCCTAGGCCTCCCCCTCCCCGTCCCGAGACGGTGTGACTGCAGATACCGCACCACTTTCCCCGATGACCGCCTCCCGAACCACCTTATGTGCTGTGAGAAGGGGAAAGGGAGGACTGCCACACACCATGCCCTCCGGGATGAAATAGCTAGGATAGGGGCAAAAGCAGGCTTCACGGTTCACAAGGAGACCTACGTCTACTCTCTGGTTGAAAAGCTCAAAACGGATGTCTCCATCCGCCATCCCTTGACCGGAGAAGTGTGGCTATGTGATGTGACCGTGACAGACCCGGTCTCCTACCAAGACGAGAACTGCAACCGTGCACCGGGTTGGGCGGCTAGGGCGGCGGCTGCAAAGAAACAAGAGAAATACGTGAGGTGAAACACG